TCGGCAGACGAGAAGAGCCGCAGCACGTTTACCAGCGGAAACATGAACAGCGCTCCGAGCAGCGAGCCCAGCTGCACCGCCGCCCCGCACCACAAGAGGGCGCTGCGGCTGCGGTCACGCAGGATCACGCCCAGCATCACCTTGACGTAGCTAAGGCAGCCGCTGAACAGCACCCACGAGGCCACCTGCAGGGACGGGCGGTAAGAGATGCAGAGTGACGGGGTTTGCGGGCTGAGCGCCAGGACGAAGAACTCTCCCAGGGCTCAGGGAAACCCATGGGATACTCCCCAGGTGCAAGGAGAGCCTTCTGGGAGTGATGCTGCGGGGCTGACAGGTCCCATGAGTTGACCGCCCAGGGGCAAAGGAGAGCCCAGTGGTCTTCTGGGTTCATGTGCCCATGATCAAGTCAAGGGCATTTGAGAGAAGTCCACTGCTGAGGTACACATGGTGGGAAGCGGCCTGCCAGCCACCTTGATTCCCCAAGCCTCCACTTCCACATGCGGAAGGGGCACCCCTCCCACCTGGGGCTTCCCTGGAGAGCCCCACAGACTCTGCTCGCTGGAAAGCGCTGTGCCCAGGCTCTACCAGGCCTTGGCTAGGAGGTGATGGGCATGGATTGGGAGCAGTCCCCCCCGCCCCAGGCTGGATACTCACGATGAGGACTTCCCCACCCCAGTGGCCCTGCAGGAGTGGGCAGGGGCTCATCACCGCCATGGCCATGTTGTAGCCCCCAAAGCAGGTCCCAAGCATGGAGAGGACCCCCAGGAACGGCAGAGACCTAGAGAGAGTGGGGAGGTGAGTGGAGGAGGTGAGAAGCCTGACCGCTGTCCCCCTGCCCCTGAGGGCCGTGTGGATCGCCAGTGTCTCCAGGGTTAGTTAGACTCATGTGGAAAATTCCAGGCCGCCTGACTCAAGTGGGCCAGGGAGGCTCCTGAAAGGGCAGGAGCGGCCTGAGTCGTCCCCAGCCTTAACCGCAGGGCCTGGAACCCAAGCAAGAAAAGCGCAATGGACTCTGACACTGGATGGTCCTGGTTCAAATCCCAGTTCTTTTCTTTTTTTTTTTCAAATTTGAGATGAAGTTTCACTCTTGTTGCCCAGGCCGGAGTGTGATGGCACGATCTCCACTCACTGCAACCTCTGCCTCTCAGGTTCAAGTGATTCTCCTGCCTCAGTCTCCTGAGTAGCTGGGATTACAGGCATGTGCCACCACGACTGGCTAATTTTTTGTTTTTAGTAAAGACGGGGTTTCTCCACGTTGGTCAGGCCAGCCTCAAACTCCCGCTCTCAGGTGATCCCAAAGTGCTGGGATTATAGGCGTTAGTTACCACACCTGGCCTCAAATCTCAGTTCTACTGTTTAAGCTGAGACTGGTCTCTGAGGCTCCAAATGGCAGTTCTGCAAGGCTATGTGATCTCCGGGAGCAGAGCATGCAGGGCCTGGCTCAGCTGTGGGCCCACCTGGTGTTTACCTGCTGCCATTTCCTCCTGCGACACCCCCAGCCTTGGCCAGGAAGCTGGGCTGAAGTGAAGACAGCTGGATTGGGCATTGGTACAGCAGGGTGTTCTGTGCTACCTCAGGGGATCCCTCCCTGTCTGGCCTCAGCTACCCGCCTCTGCACGTGGGGTTTGCTATCTCCAGGGGCCCTGGAAGCTGGCTTGTTGCTGCTAGGAACATCCCTCTGTAGGTGGCCTTCCATGCGAACCTACATCTGACAACTGAGGACACTGTCCTTCCTCAGAGGTCCTTGTCCCTGGGGTCCCACTCTCCAGTCTCCAGAACCCTAAGACTGGTCCATGCCCTGGGTAAGAACAGATAGGGGTCTGCCTACGCCCCTAAAGACTCTTTCTGCTCCAATGTTCTTGGAGTCCACGACTCAGATTCTGTAATTCTAATATTTAGGGTTTCTTGGATTTGCAGATCTGGGCCTTTGGTCCTGCTTCTCTCAGATCCTCCACCGTCCTTCCTGTTTCTAGGCCCTAAGGTAGAAAATCCAGCTTCCTGGCAAGCTTTCTGTCTAGCTCTTCTGTCCTCAGTGTCGTCCTCCCTGGGCTGGGAGAGTGGGTCTGAGCAGGCCCGTGAGGGAAGGCTTCCCTGAGAAGGGAAGCCCCTGCCTCAGAGCCATCTGGGTTCTTTACTAAAAACTGCAATCCCAGGTCCCAGGCTAAGCTGGTTCAATCTGTGTTTTATCAACTTGCCCAGCCGTTCTTCTACAACCGTGGCTCTAAGGGAACCAGCTGGAGGTTAGAGGCAGGAGGGCAGGGCTGAAATCCTGGGAACTGGACCAGGTCAAGCTCTTTCTCCAAGCCTTATGGTTTCCCCTTGTGAATGGGAACCCCAGTGGCTGCCTGCTGTCCTCATGGACTGATGGCAATGATGGTCGACACTTAGGCCGGACCTGTTATGTGCCAGGTGCCGCTCCAAGAGCTTTATAGAATCAGCTCATAACATGCTTCCAGCAGTCCTAGGAGGTAGAACTGTTACTACTCCCATTTTCCAGATAAATGTCCCTGAGGCACAGAGAAGTGAAGCGATCTGTTTTATCACACACGGCTGACAAGTGGCAGAGCTGGGATTTGGACCTGGGTGCTCACAAAACCATGTTCTTAACCACTGCACGTACAACCCACCAGGCAGGTTTGGAATTCTGGGTTCTGAAATGAAGTGCTCCCCCTCTAGGATTCCCTAGGGCCAGACGGGGGCACACCTGTTAGGCAGGAACATGGAGAGCAGGGAGGCGAGAGGGTTGGCCACAATGCTGAGGGTGGCGGCCAGGTGGTAGGCAACCGGCCCGTAGGACAGGCAGGAGTAGGTCTGCACAGAGGGCAGCACACCATTGGTGAGTGCGTTGACAAAGGCCACCAGGGTATAGATGAAGGCCAGGTGGGCCGGGCAGCAGGGAGCTCCTTTCTCCTCTAGGTGTCCCTGGCCCTGGCTGCTGTCCACTGTGCCGGTGGGGCCCGAGTCATTCTCTTCCCGTGGCCGGATGGAGTGGAGGGTGACCTGGTCGTTGAGGAGGTCTTCCACGGAAGCCTCCCAGCACCTGGGTTGACGCTGGAGGACAAAGAATGCAGCGAGGCAGCAGGCCATCATGAAGGACAGCAAGAGGAAGAAGATCAGGGGCGAGAAGTGGGCGGGGAGGTAGCGGGTCTCCAGGTGGGACCACGGTGCTGCCGTTCTGGGGAGAGTGGACACCAAAGCTCTGGGAATTCCCTGCAAAGGACAAGACAGGTCAGTCAGATCCCTGGTGGGGGCGGGGTCAGAATGCAGAACAATAATCGTGACAGTGAGAATACAGAATACAGATTATGTGTTATTATTAATGGATAATTGATAAATAAATAACAAGGTGGCAGTAATGACTGCTCACACTGACTGCCACTGAGCATGGGCACTGCGCATGGATAAGTCCCTGTGTCTCCTAGGCCTGTGCTGTGGGACCATCATCCCCCATTTTAGACAGAACTGAGGCATCAGAATGCTTTGTCCCTTCCCTGAGGGTCACAGGGAGAATGTAGCAAAGCCAGACTTCACTGGGTGCTTTCTGACGGGGAAGCTACACCTTTTATCACTCAGCTACCTTACAGCAGTGGCAACCACAAACATATTCAGAGGAGGGGCTAGCTGGAGACTGAGCTAGCTGGAGACCTAAGGGGAGAGCCCCCTACCTAAGGGGAGAACCCCCTACCTAAGGAGAAAATCTCCCCACCTAAGGAGAGAACCCCCCACCTAAGGGGAGAGCCTCCCACCTAAAGGGAGAAACCCCCACCTAAGGGGAGAGCCCCCCACCTAAGGGGAGAGACTCACCTAAGCAGAGAACCCCCTACCTAAGGGGAGAGCCCCCATGCGTAGGTATGTAAGTAATTCAAATGGGTTTCCTGCTGTTGATCTGCCTTGTCAGTTTAGCTCATAGACCGACCGAAGAGCCTAGAAGGATAGAGAGGAGCAGATTTTCCTTCCCCTACACTTGTGAGCAAACCAAGTGCTGCTCTGGTTCCAGGTACCTGTGTGATGTCAGTCTCCCCTGTGGGCACAGGGCTTGGTATGCTGTCTGACAACTCAGTCACATTGACGCAGGTAGTGAGACCTGAGCCTTGGGCAAGAGCCACCAGGGCAGGCAAGAGGCCACTGAGTCCTTCACCTACAAAGAATGTGGTGAGATAGTAGGTGGGCAGTCGGCTCATGAAGGGCAGGAAGGTGACCGAGGAGGTGCAGTCCACCAGGGCCAGGAAGAAGGTGAGGACCAAGAAGGCGATGCTGTGGTGGCCGTCCAGCACCCAGGAGGGCATATTCCAGAGGAAGGCAAAGATGATGCAGGTGATGGTTCCCACGCCCAGCAGGGTGAAGATGATGGGCACTTCGGAAAGGCAGCTGGGCCGGAAGCGATGGAGCAGGGTGACCAGGAGGGGTCCGATGTTGGCCAGCTGGATGACCACCGTGAGGTAGGAGGGCAGGTACCAGCCCTCGGGCAGCTCCATCACTAGCAGGGGCAGCTCTACCCAGAGCCCATTGATGGTCACCCAGGAGCCCATTCCGAAGATGCAGACCAGCAGGTGCATGAGGAGGGCCATGGCGGTATCTGCCCTGGGCCGGAGGCCTCCCCAGATCAGCCTGCAACGGGGCTGGCAGGGAAGGACAGCAGATGAGTAATTTCAACTTCACCACCTAGCAAGACGCTGTGATCTGGGGCCCCGGGTTTTCTCATATTACTACCCTCCCTGTGAACAAGCTGGCTTTTTTAAAATTTCTTTGAGACAGACTTTCACTCTTTTTACCCAGGCTGGAGTGCAATGGCATGATCTCGGCTCACTGCAACCTCTGTCTCCTGGGCTCAAGTGATTCTCCTGCCTCAGCCTCCCAAGTAGCTGGGATTACAGGCGTGCACCACAACATGAGCTAATTTTGTATTTTTAGCAGAGACACGATTTCACCATGTTGGCCAGGCTGGTGTGGAACTCCTGACCTCACGTGGTCAGCCTGCATTGGCCTCCTAAAGTGCTGGGATTACAGGCATGAGTCACTGCACCTGGCCCAAGCTGGCTTTTTATTAGCACAAAACAAGCGAAAGCTTTCCTAACCATGATTCATGAAAATAAAAAATTCAACACAACACACAAAAGCAAACAAAGCAGCTTCTGCAAAACATACCAACAGCAAAGTCAAAAGTTAAATGAAAACGTGGGGGAAATATTTGTAACATAAATCACAAGGGGCTCATCTTCCTAATATGTAAAGAGTTTTTAAAAATCAAAAGCAAAGAGACCCCACAAAGCAGATGGCCAAGGATACGAACAAGTCAGAGAAAAAGGTACAAATAAGCTTTAAACATATGAAAAGAGTATCACCTTCATTCACAATAGGAAAGCCACTCCAGGGTGCCATTTCCCAACATGAGATTGTCCCAAAGCCTGACAAAGTGACTCGTGTACAAGGTTATTATAGATTGTGACCTTGTTGATAATAGCAAGTTATGGGAAATTTCTCCTCTCCGGCTATCAACAGAGAAGGGGCTAATTCAAGGGACCTATTGGAATACCACACACCTGTTTAAAGGAATAAGGAATAAGGAAAGCAGATCTTATTGGCTGATAAGGAAAGGTCTCCAGGCTATACTGATAATCTTGAAACAAAATCAAGGCAGGTAGACGGAACCGGGAAAATCCGTACTGCCTGTTGGACATAGAAGAGGAGGAAAAATATGTTTTCTTTGCTTGTACTGGTACAAGGCAGCCTTGAAGGACACATATAGGGACTGCGGGGATGTTGGCGATGCCTCTGTCTATCTTTTAATAGAGCTTTGATTTGTGAACCATGTAAACATATTACCTGATGCAAATATGTGGTTACCTGAAATAAAATTTCAATCTGGCTTTTGTTGCCTCCTGAAATTACAGAACTCTCTAGGTGGCCTTTGGAGGCCACTTCGTCTAGCCCTCCGGAACCATTCTGCCATCTGTTTACCCCCTTGGCAGCTACCAGTGGCAGCCCACCTGTGTTGTTACTAACTCTCTTCTATCTTTAGTCTGAGCGGGAATGTGGGAGTGCCAGGAGTGAGGCTCTGGACCCAGCTGTTTGAGTGTGACCCTGGCTCTGCTGCTTACAATCTGGGTGACCCTGGGCAGGTGACCTTGCCTCTCTGGGCCTCATCTCCTCATCTGTAAGTAGGGGACAGTGATGGTATGAATTCTGTGGATTGTGATGAGATGTAAGTATGCTGGTGAGAATATGTTATTTCCCCTAGTCCCAGTGTACAGCAAGCACCACTAAGGGTTACAGACCATTGCCGCGAAACGTCAGGTTTGGTGGCAAAGTTATTTTTGTTTCATTCACATGAGAATTAATCCACGACTATGAAACTTTAAAAAGAGAAAAGATTCCTCCACCAGGTATCAACTGAACTCACCAGTGGTATATGTACCTCTTTGTAGAGACACGTCAACTGGGCCAATGTCCACGTTTTGTAGATGGGAGACGGACGGGGTCCGAAGGGGCAGAGGGGCTCTCCTGGGGTCTGGACTGGGTTCCCTGCAGCATGCGGCCTGGCCAGGGTTTTTCAGTTCAAGCTGCAGTCTTTAACTCCATACTTCTTCCTTCTAGTACAAAGCAGGAGTGTCAATTTGTGGCCACACTTGACGCAGGAACCTCCAGAATCCCTGACAGCTCCTCAGCACGGTTCCCACACACGGAATTGCCCACAGGGCTGCGACTTCCTTCCTCCTACCTCCACTGAGCAAACCCAATGCTCATTTGCCTTTCTGGCTACCGCCTTTTCCTCTCTGGGAAGAGCCACTCCTGGGGTGTAACGTAGTCAGATCCGCTAGCAGGTCGGCTCTGCTCCTCCCTTCTGGGGGCCTCAGACTCTGTTCCCTCCCTTAGCAAGCTGACTTGACTAACGGCACAGGCAAGCCTTGCTCTGGGGGTGCCAAGAGGACCCAAGGAGGGAGGGGGAGCTCCCAGGCAGCAGTGGCACACCTTTGCCTCTGCTGTCCCCCCGGCCTGGAGTGCTGCCCCTTCTTCTGTCCACATCCAAGCTTTCTACAAGATCCCATCCTCCAGGAGACCTCTGGCTGCCTCAGGTGTCCTCATCGGGGCCCCATGAACCCTTCATTCAAGGTTGTTCTTGTGTGGGTGCATGCAGGCACATACCTTGAGACTGAAGCTTTTTGAGGGCGGGGGCTGCTTGGGAATCTGGCATTTTGAAGGTGGAAGGGCCTTTCTCAATGACTTAGCTCAGGATTTGCAAATTAACACACTGGCCAAAGCCAGAAAGCAGATGTATTACTTTGGTTTGCCCAGAGTGTTCAACAGTGTGTTACTGTAATCCTCAATGGAGGGGATGGCAAACAACCGTCAGGATTTCTGGCTTCTCAGGAATATTTTGGAAGAAGTGGCCACCGCTTTGCCCTCTTTCTCCATCCTAGACTTGGGCCATCTTGGCGCTCTCCCCTGCAGTAGCATCTGGAGCCAGATGCCTGGGTTCAAATCCCGGCTTCAACCCTTACAAACTGAGCAAGTGGCTTAACCTCCTGTGCTTCAGTCTTCTCTTGCAAAACAGATACGCTGTCAGTATCAACATCAGAATTGTTGCTAGGAACATGCAAAGTGCTAGAACTATGCCTGCCACACAGTAAGGGCTCAATGAACATTTATTATAAGATTACTATTTCAGCAAACATATCCATTGCATTCAAAAACATGTAGTTACCTGCCCAGTGCAGTGGCTCACACCTGTAATCCCAGCACTTTGGGAGGCCGAGGTGGGCCGATCACTTGAGGTCAGGAGTTTGAGACCAGCCTGGCCAACATGGCGAAACCCTGTCTCTACCAAAAATACAAAAATTAGCCAGGTATGGTGGTGCATGCCTGTAGTCCCAGCTACTCTGGAGGCTGAGGTAGGAGAATCACTAGAACCTGGGAGGTGGAGGTTGCAGTGAGCCAAGATCGTGCCACTGCATGCCAACCTGGACAACAGAGCGAGACTCCATCTCAAAAAAGAAAAAGTGAAAAAAGGGACCCAGTTTTTGTTTGGTAAATGGCCACCCAACTAAAGGACTACATTTCCCAGCCTTCCTTGTAGCTGCACATGGTCACGTCATCAAGCACAGGCCAGTAAGTTCATATGCGAGTTTGAGTAGTCTCCTTAGCCCGTTTCCTGTTTAGAAAAGAGGGCGGCTCGCTGCAAACGCTCATTTAATTTTATGTAAACATGCTCTTTGAGGCTGAAGCAAATCTGACTTTTTTTTTAAATTGAGACAGAGTCTTGCTGTGTAGCCCAGGCTGGACTATAGTGGTTTGCTCTCAGACTGCAGTGGCAAGATCTCAGCAGAGCTCTTGATCTCTGCCTCCCAAGTTCAAGTAATTCTCGTGCTACAGTCTCCTGAGTAGCTGGGATTACAGGCGTGTACCACCATGCTCGGCTGTTTGTATTTCTTAGTAGAGACAGGGTTTTTCCATGTTGCTAAGGCTGGTCTTGAACTCCTGGACTCAAGTGATTCTCCTGCCTCAGCCTCCCAAAGTGCTGGGATTACAGGCATGAGCCACCGCACCCAACCCTATATCTGACTGATTTTCAATGTGAAAATAAAACATAAAAACTATTCTTGGCGTTATTTCTAACCAGAACTAACATAAGAATCATCTATTTCAGAAAAACTGGATTTATCAAATTCACCAAATGGCCAATAACTGTTTGAAAACAATGTCACATGCAGAAATGCTGTGTTTTCTAGGATTTGATATTTTTAGCGATCAAGCATTACTGTTTTGTAAATGGAAATACCACTATTAAAACCAGAATGCTTTTGTTTCTTTTTCTTTTTCTTTCTTTCTTTCTTTTTTTTTTTTTTTTTT